GAGTGACCGGTTACTGTCCAAGTCTCTCTGCATCCGCGGGCGTTTGGGAGGCCAGATTTACAAAGTACGGCTGTAGACGCTCTTAGTCTCCAATAGTTAAATATGCACATGCATGCAGTCGACAAAATTAAACCGCGTGGTGACATGCAACCCACACATGCTGCTCAATCGCCACGTGAATCTCGCACATGATTGAATTATCACCAAATCTAGTTCCGTATCCCAATTTTACTTATCTTTTACTCCACAGTATCGCAACATGCGACACATGAGTGCCAACATATCCATACCAAAAAGTATTGGTAATAGTCAACGTTACATTTTTAGGCATCTTTTTCCAAAGCAAAGGAAAAAAAATGTGATTACGAGTTACATATTGAATATTGTTTCACAAGTTCAACAATACACTTCCCTACAAAAAGAGTTGAATGATGCACTAACCCGCAAATTAGCAAAACTAGCAATGTGCCCATGCGTTGCAACAGGTCCAGAGTAGAATAATACTTGTTCACAAACTTGAAGTAAAACACTCTAATTTTTATCCGGAATAAAAACACTCTAGTTTCTAAAAATATACTATGTTCACTCAAAATATAATCCTTGGGCTGTTTTGATGAGGTGAGGTTGTTTTGATGAGGTGCGGAAGAAATGAGGTTGGTTTCAGGATATTAAGGGTTTTCCGTAAAAGGAAGCAGAGAAGTGGGCTATTGTTGTAAAAAGGCAATAACTTATCTTACAGTCATTAAATACAAATCTAGTGGTCAAAAATGATGAATGACACACGCACCATCATCACCAACTCAGTCTTTTATAGGAGTAGAGTCTACTCATGAGTCATGAGCCACCTATTGGGTTGTTATCTAACACAGATGAAACAAAGAGATGAAGATAAAATAGAGACGTGGACATACATATGTATTGCCAGGAGATATCCAAATTTTAAAACTTGTAATATATACTCCAAACTGATCAATCGAGCTCACATATACATTATCTTTTTGTACACATGCCTCAAAAGGTGGAGGCTGCCACTGGAACCGGCTATATTATTTTACACATTTTGAGCTCGACCAGCATGTACTATATACACATGACTGCGTTTGGGTATACACATGTCCTAAGAATGTATATAGTCGATCAACCACCTAAAAAAATGAAATAACATAAGATAAATAGCAGGACGTGCTCATCGATCTCCACAAATCGCAGAGTTGACAAGGAGGTGGACGGCAGATACGCCAAGCGGAGCTATTGTCGTCGATCAATGCAGAGATATGTAGTGGTTAACATGCTAATTAAATAATTGAAGTGGAGTGATCGCGGGAGTCGTCCTCTCGTTTTGATGGATTGATCGAGCATGTACGACTTTTCCTTGGGAGGCACCAATCTTTCGTATGTGTGTATATTACTCCATGCAATCACTTTAAGAGGTGTAAATTACTCCGGATCCATGCATATATATTCTAGCTATACAACACGAGACCCTAGACTTGGTAGCTTTGTTAATTAGCTGCCCCGTTGATCTGATAATATATTGGTCGATTGAACATGCACACTTGGTGGGCCCATAATACCATGCACTCCTACTCCCCTGTTCCCAAATATAAGTCTTTTAAGAGATTTCATTATAGACTATGTACGGACCAAAATGAGTGAACATATACTCTAAAAGGCATCTATATACATTCGAATATAGTCTCTATAGTGGAATCTCTAAAAAGATTTATATTTTGGAATGGAGGGAGTGCAATGCAAGGTGCTTATAGAGATGCTTGCAACACAATGATTTTTGCTTAAGCACCGGTGCTTGTTTCTATAGCAGAGATGCCTAATTAAGCATATGTGTTTACAACTAAGTATACATGCACCTTGACATCACCCTAATTGCCTTAGTAGATGACCAATTAGTTGTCATACACGCCTGTACTCTAGTATACCGTATAAGTTTAAGCGGCAATTGCAGTGCACCAGAAATCCGAGCTTTATCGCCAATCATAATTGCTCTTTCATTTTTTTGTATAACCCACAAAGAAGAACCTTTTCTTCCGAATATCGGACACATCCATACGTGTGGTTGCTCTGAGATACATATTTCTTTGACAATGGACCGTGCAAAAATCAAGTCTTGGCATAGCATTTAGTTTAGCTATCGGCTGCTGCATGTTTGTTGAATTCGTAACAAGAACGAAGTCCAAGTTGAAACATCAAGAACAGACATGATTTATCTGAAACATGAAATTACTACATAAAAAAGGGCCAACGCGGTATCACCACTTTCCCTTTCTTTGGATACCTGATGAATGCAAAATTAAGTTCGCTCGTCAATGGTCGGTGCCCTACAGGATAAATGAATCACTCCAAAAGCAAGCAGGCAAGTAGATGGATGAATATCATTAGGAAATTACCAGCGGCCGAAACTTGCAATTAGTCGTTAAGCTTGTGAGTTGTCGGTGTGCATGGCTTTCACTTGTTCTTCACGTGATAAGAGCAGACGCATGAGGCCAGTCAACAAAATTAAAACCGCGTGACGACTGGAGTATGAAACGAGGTACTTACTAGCTGCTCAATCGCGAATGGAGTACCTACACATGGATCATGGGATTAAATTGCCACCGAAGATAATCCTGGTAGTATCAAATTTTACTACTTAGCATCTTTTACAAACTTAAGCATCCATATGGCAGCAGTGCTTACGCGTAGTGGTGCTGAACGATGCACTAACCCACTAATTGGTACTCATGAGCCACCTACTGCATTGTTCTTTTAGGCCATGCATAGAGCAAAGAGAGCAAGATAAGATAGAGATGTGGGCATATAGATTAACAAGTTGTTTAAACTTGTTACAAATATACTCCACGCCGATGGATCCAGCTCTACATTATTCTCTTTTTCGTACATTTCTACGCCTCAGAACATGGAGGCTGCCGCTGAAACCGTACGATAAGTTTTGTATAGTTGGAGCTCTCGGCTGCTAGCTCTACAATCATGTTGTACTATATACACATGACGGCGTCTAGTTAATTGTGCTGTAACGTCCTAAGAATGTATAGAATCGACCTGTCATCTAAAACAAAACAAAAAATACCAGAACGTGTGGTCATCATCTCTAGAGAGTAGGACAATAAAATCACGACGGAAGATACGGTAAGCATATAACATGCTAAAATTTACTACTCCCTCAGTCCCATAATATAAGAGCGTTTTCAACACTGGTATAGTGTAAAAACTGCTCTTATATTATGTGAAGGAGGGATTACTAATTAAAGTGATCGAAGAGTAGTCGTCATCTCGTTTTGATGGATCGATCGAGCATCCACAACTTTCTCTGGGAGGCATCCGATCACGTTCACATGTGTGTATATTTTAGTAGCGTATGCACAACTGTAAAGTAGTACTCCATAATCATATATTGTGCCCCGACTTGGTGTTTTCGTTGACTAGCTAGCTAGTTGATCTGATCATATCAATCGATCAACCCATGCTAATTGTGCCTATAAGTACATACTCCTTTCCATCCCCCTTAGTCACCATTAGTAGATGACAGTTTAGCTCGCATACACTCACAATTCTGTGTACTATACTGTATACGAGGTTCGCTTCTGGCTAGCTCGATCCCTGCCAGCCAGCCATGAGGGCTCCCGTGGTCGTCCTTCTGGGCCTTGTGATCGTCGGTGCCATTGGTGCTATCAGCGCGGATGCGCGGAGACCGGTGGTGCCGGCGATTTTCGTGCTAGGGGACTCGACCCTAGACGTGGGCAACAACAACCACCTCCCGGGGAAGGATGTTCCCAGGGCCAACGAGCCTTTCTACGGCATCGACTTCCCCGGTGGCGCCCAGGCCACCGGGAGGTTCAGCAACGGCTACAACATCGCCGATTTCGTCGGTATGTACGAATCATATACATCATCATGTGCTCAGAATGGTGCGGGGATAATAATATTTACCATGAGTTCATATGTTAATTTGATGAATTGATGGATGCAGCGAGGCAGCTGGGGTTCGAGAGGAGCCCTCTGGCTTACCTAGTGCTGAAATCTCGAAACTATCTCAACCCCAGCGCTATGACGAGAGGGGTGAGCTATGCTTCCGCGGGAGCCGGTATCCTCGACTCCACTGTAAGTCACTTCAATTTATTTGCATTACATATGCTTGGTGAGTTGTATATGTGCTAGATAAGCCTTGCACCATTTCGTGTACGGTTGTCATCTATTTGTTCCAGAGGATTTGTTATGTACTACATTTGTAATACCATGTTTTGGTAGCAGTGGAAAGTTTTTCCAAAGTTGCCAATATAAACATCTTAAAGTGATATTAGAAGTAACTAATTCCTAAATTCAATTTCACAAAACAAAAATCTAAATTCCCCAAAGTGGACGCTGTCCGTCGGTGGATCTGTCCAGTTAACTTGGCGGTGACACCAAGGTTCATGGGAGGGAGCTGGAACGTGGAACCAGGAACCGAGGCGATCCATCATGTATAGGCACGTTACGTAGCTAGAGAAGCTAATAATAATCTAATAATTAAGTTGTCTTGTAGTTACGTAATCATCACATGCTCACAACAGTAAACATCATTTTGCAAAAAAAAAACAGTAATCATCAAAACGCACCACTAGTGATTAAGCTTCTCCACTTGTTGTTCTAGTACTAGTACGAGCCATGTTTGTCAATTAACTGCAAGTGTTGTTATGAAGGGTCCCTGTGGTTTCTAATTCGAATTTAATATATAAATTAAACGGCAGTAACTTCATGTCACAAGAGTTGCATGTTACATAGAGAGGTAAATGCATTGGTCAAATCTTTGTTTTAGCGAAATCAAATAATATGTCCTCGCGTTTTAAAATGGAGAAAATATATCGTTACTAATTAACCATGCGGTTGTTGTAATAAGTAACTCTAATAACTAGCTCAACCTACTAATTGTATGTGTTTTACATGCAGAACGCGGGAAAGAACATCCCTTTGTCAAAGCAGGTGAGCTACTTCGCGTCGACAAAGAGATGGAGGCCACATGGGGCAACCATAAAGTCTCCAAGCTCCTCGCCAGCTCATTCTTCCTCCTGGGCTTTGGCAGCAACGACCTCTTCCAGAGCAGACCAAAGTCCGAAGCCGATGTTGCCGTACTCTATGCGACCCTCGTCTCGAACTACTCCGCCGCCATCACTGACCTGTATGGGATGGGCGCGAGAAAATTCGGGATCATCAGCCCTGGCCCGGTGGGGTGTGTGCCGCGGGTGCGCCTGTTGAACGCGACGGGCGCCTGCAACGATGGCATGAACCGCCTCACTATGGGGCTCGCCGCGGCGTTCAAGTCTGGCCTCGCTACAACCCTCAGCCCAACGAGGCTCCCAGGCCTCACGTACTCACTCGCCGACTCCTTCGCCGGCACGCGGGCCAACTTCGACAACCCACAAGCGGTTGGGTTCGTGAACGCCGATAGCGCGTGCTGCGGGAGTGGTAGGCTGGGCGCGGAGGGTGAGTGCACGAGGAACGCGACACTGTGCAGTGACCGCGATGTGTATGCATTCTTTGACAACGTGCACCCGAGCCAGCGGGCCGCCGAGCTGGGTGCGCAGGCTCTCTTTGTGGACAGCCCGATTCAGATCACCGCCCCCATCAGCTTCAAGGAGCTAGCCCACGAGAGATGATTGATTGGTTCCTTGAAAATTACTACAAGACATGATTTAATTTTCTTGAGTTTGAGTGTGTTTTTGTATGTTGTTGTATTAGTATTATTTTGAAAACTACATATAGTGTTAAATAATGCTCATACACTAAGCACCAACATTAGGTGTCACGCAGGACGGCACACTTCCCACTAACACAACGTCTAACTTACTCCCTCCATTTACTTATACAAGGCCACTATGGAATATACATTTTGCATCTATACAAGGGCACCAACAGCAATGGAGACAAAATTAATGTTATTTTCTCGTACTAGCAACCTATTTAATACTTGCATGCATGTAGCCATAATGACAGTCAGCTACTTCCTCCATTCAGTTTTCTTGGATGTATGTGGCGTATTAATGATCCCACTAAATGAAAAGAAAATCTGACTTGCAAAGCACACATTAAATTTTACATTGGTACGTGTAATCTGAGTTTGTGGCCTTGTATACATAAAATGGAGGGAGTATATAACACTAAAGAAAAACCTTGCTATCTCATGAGCCATTGTGTTATCATCCCTTTTAATTTTCACCAGCTTGTAGCTCTACAATAACCAAAAAAGCAGTATGGACTCTTTCTTTGTATCAACAAGAGAATACATATACATAGTCTTATTAACAAGAGCGTATGCACAAAGAGGTAACATGTCTCCGAAATAATAGGTTGATACAAGGTTACACCGACGTAAATACCCGCAAGACTCACACAGAGCTCAGCCTCACCAGCACTGAAACATCGAGGCAAGAGAGAGAGAGAGAGAGAGGGGGGGAGAGAGAGAGAGACAGAGATTGCACAAATACACAACTTTTTGGCCCGAGGTAACACAAAACCACTACTCTATGGGATTTTAATAGAAAACCACAACTCCGGGACTAATTGGTAACAAAAAGCATGAATCAACCAGTTTTATCGTATAAAACTGTCCAAATTTTTAAATGGTAGGCCAAATTGCCTGAAAATTACCCATATTGATCATTTAAAATGTTTGAATTACTGTAATTTTTTTGTTTTTTTAAACGTTGAATCGTTGAAGAAAATCTTTCCGATTCTCACAAAAACTGTGCAAATTTTAAAATGGCTGGGCTAAATTGACTAAAAATTTCCAAGATTGATCATTCAAGACTAAACCCACATTCCATAATTATCTTTAACTGAATAATTGAAACAAATTTGTGCTTTTTTGTTACTGGTTAGTCCTAGAGTTTTTGTTTTCAATTAAAATCCTCTGGAGTTGTTGTTTCGTGTTACCCCCACCCCCAAAATTTGTGTATTTGTGCAATTTCCTATCTCCAGAATAATAGGATGATGGAAGGTAACCTGACTCCAGAATAATAGGCTGATGCAAGATTATCGATGTAAATACCCGCAAGAAGCACACAGAGCTCACCCTCCACAACACTGGAACATCAGACCAAAATAATAGGGGGTACTGGAACCATAGAGACGAGGATAGATTTACCCGAGAGAGGGAAACAAGATATCGCCTTAGCCTAAAAAAACAAATGAAGCGATTCTTCCTCCTAGTTTTCTAGTTGTTTTTCTATTTTTTTAGATCTACTTTTTACGCTAGGTTTTATCATATGGTTATCCAAAGAAAACATAATTTTTTTGACATACTAAAAAAATGAATTTGAAAAAACATGAATAATTTGCAAGATTTTGCGAACATTTTAAAACGAATCCTGTACATTTTTTCAAATTCCATGAACACATTTTGATCTTGTGGATATTTTTATTAAATCCTCAAAACTTGCCGAATTTTGTGAAAATTGTTAAAATTATTTTCTAACATAAAAAAGTAAATGTTTATCGAGCATTTTACAAAAGGAAAAGAATGAAAGGAAAAATAAAACCAAAAACAGTAAAAGAGGAAGAGAAAGGAGAAGGAAAAATATAAAAGAACGAACAACCAAGACAAAAAAGAAAAGAAAATTTTGTTGGAAGGAATCAGTTTGGATTCGCCGTATTCGCATCTATCTATCTATTTGTGTCATGGTTGCATGAAGAATAAATACCATATTTTCAGAATTTACACAACCATAATCTGTTTAATTTCAAAGTTTTATGATCAGCTGATTAGGAAAATAGATTGTGTAAGCTGTTTATATCATGTTCTAAGTAAACCTTCAAAAACTAATTAAGTTCGGATGTTGTTTCTACAGAATCTGTACGAACTTCTAAGATGTAACCAATAAATGTGTACATTTTGTGCCATCGCGGGTTAGCTTTCATGGTAAAGTTAAGTGCACAAGTGGTAATAGGAATAGCAAAAAGTGGCGGTGGCATTGAATAATATCATTCGTAGCTACAATTATTAATTTCGAATGATTGAAGAATGCTAAGGACAACACAGCTATTGCCCTTGTAACTATGAGACTAAATATGTAAATTGCTAAGATTTTAGGTGTGATCCTGAGGAAACAAGCGGCGACTCCAATTACACTCTTGTGAAGTATGCCCTCTTTGCTATTTTGTCACGATGGTTCACTATCGTTTCTCTGTCTAGAGAGTGTTGGGGAACGTAGCATGCAATTTCAAAAAATTTCCTACGATCACGCAAGATCTATCTAGGAGATGCATAGCAACGAGAGGGGGAGAGTGTGTCCACGTACCCTCGTAGACCGAAATCGGAAGTGTTAGTTAACGCGGTTGATGTAGTTGAACGTCTTCATGATCCAACCGATCCAAGTACCGAACGTACGGCACATCTGTGTTGAGCACACGTTTAGCTCGATGACGTCTCTCGAACTATTGATCTAGTAGAGGGTCGAGGGAGAGTTTCGTCAGCATGACTGCGTGGCGACGGTGTTGATGATGTGATCCGCGCAGGGCTTCGCCTAAGCACTACGACATTATGACTGGAGGAGTAAACTGTGGAAGGGGGCACTGCACACGGCTAAGAGAAATCTTGGTGTCCCTTTGGGGTGCCCCCTCCCCACGTATATAAAAGAGGGGAGGAGGAGGTCGGCGTCCTAGGAGGGGCGCGCCAAAGGGGGAAGTCCTACTAGGACTCCCTAGTCCTAGTAGGATTCCCCTTTCCTTTCCGGAATAGGAGAAGATGGAAAGAGGTGGAGGAGAAGGAGGAAAGGGGGGCTACGCCCCCACCCCTAGTCCAATTCAGTTAGGGCTGGGGGGGCGCCTCCACCTGGCCTCACCAACTCTCTTCCACTAAGGCCCATGAAGGCCCATTAATCCTTGAGGGGTTCCGGTAACCTCCTGGTACTCCGGAAAATGGCCGAACCTCTCTGAAACCATTCCGTTGTCCGAACATAACCTTCCAATATATCAACCTTTATCTCTCGACCATTTTGAGACTCCTCGTCATGTCTGTGATCTCATCCGGGACTCCGAACAAACTTCGGTCATCAAAAACACATAACTCTTAATACAAATTGTCATCGAATGTTAAGCGTGCAGACCCTACGGGTTCGAGAACTATGTAGACATGATTGAGACACATTTTCGATAAATAACCAATAGCAGAACCTAGATGCTCATAGTGGCTCCTACATATTCTACGAAGATCTTTATCGGTCAAACCGCAAAACAACATACATTGTTCCCTTTGTCATCGGTATGTTACTTGCCCGAGATTCGATCGTCGGTATCATTATACCTAGTTCAATCTCGTTACCGGCAATTCTCTTTACTCGTTCCGTAATGCTTCATCCCATAACTAACTCATTAGTCGCATTGCTTGTAAGGCTTATAGTGATGAGCATTACCGAGAGGGCCCAGAGATACCTCTCCGATACACGGAGTGACAAATCCTAATCCTGATCTATGCCAACCCAACAAACACCTTCAGAGCCACCTGTAGAGCATCTTTGTAATCACCCAGTTATGTTGTGACGTTTGATAGCACACCAGGTGTTCCTCCGGTATTCGGGAGTTGCATAATCTCATAGTCATAGGAACATGTATAAGTCATGAAGAAAACAGTACACTACCAGGGAAAAGCCTAGCAGCAGCGCGGGTTTTAGGCCTATCAGTAGCGCGGGAAGGAGCGCTACTGATAAGGCGCTACAGCTAAACCTTAGCAATAGCACGCCTAGATCCACGCTACTGCTAAATTGACTTAGTAGTAGCGGTTCTAAAGAACCGCGCTACTGGTAATTAGTAGTAGCGCTTCTCCTTTCCCGCGCTACTACTATTATTTAGTATTTTATTTATTTTTTATTTCATGTTGTATTCATACACCTTTACACAAGTTTTCATACAATAGGAATTTAGAGATTGTTTTTACATCATAATGAGTTATTACATCACGGGGTGAAAGAACCGTGGACTAGTTTCAAGTGGATGTCCATCCACTTGAAACTAATCCGCGGTTCTTTCACCCAATGATATAATAATACATCATCATCATCATCATATCATTAACAACTTATCATCATAATACATCATTGTCATATAACACCTCCTCAAGATCATCGTTTTCATCAATGACATCACATAGCAAATTGGTCACTAGTCATAATCACAAGTACTCCTCATTATCAACTCTAACACATTACCACATAATAAACATATTGTACCTCATAGGACCTACTACATTCGATTAAGACCTACTACATTTTCTAAGGTAAAATAGCAAAAAACAAGATAGCCCCTGACTCTCCATTATGGAGAATGGAGATTAGCCTATCTCCAATTCTTGCCTTTCGCTGAATGTTACTTCCAAGAACCTCCTTGCAAATGTCCATACATTTCTTTCATTTTTTGATGATCATGTGTTCACCGGTTTTAGAAATCCGATATGCACAGGTGAGCTCCCTAGATTTACCTGGCAGTATGTTCAGAACTGAGAGGCGACCATTCAGAGACATCAGATGAGGCACACAATCCATCAGGAGTTTCTGTTGAAAAACATAATAATAACTTCGTAGTTAGCAATGATATACTAGTTTTAGAAGTATGCAAAAGATGCATGGATGTCGTAATAGTAAAAAATCTTACCAGGGTATCTCCA